CCCTGAAGGAGGACGTGTCAGAGATGAAGAAGCGGGAGGCGCAGAATGAGAAGCTGATGTGCGTGTTTCGGTGCTGGGGTAATCGGATCTTGGGAGGGGCGGATGCAGGAGCCGGGCATCCATTGGTGTGCACCATGCTTGCAAGCGTGCCCTCAATAAAGGGCACCCCGGCCGCCTCTCCATCACGCCTGCACGCTTTGCTCGTACGCACAGACGCACGCGTGCCAGCGAGCTCAACGCTGCAACCCTCGCCCTCGCCGCCACCCCCTCCCCACCCACGCCCGTACACGCTTGCCCCCCGCTCGCCCTCGCCCACCGCCATCCAAAAACCAACAAGGTATGAGATAGCCCAGGAGAACAAGCGGCTGAGCGAGCCCCTGGCCCGGAGCCTCAAAGAGGTCGAGACACTGAGGGGGGCCCTGGCAGCATATGACAAGGACAAGGCGTCGCTGGCGGCGGCAAAGGCGCGGCTCGCGGCTGCTGAGAAGCGGGTGCGGCGCCTGGGGACGGGTGTTGTTGGTTTTTGTTTGGGGGAGAGGGGGTTGGCGGGGTTTGCAGGGTGGGGGTGAGATGGTCGCATAAGGTGCCAGCTCAACAGGGTGCGGGCAGCTGCCAGGGGCGCACGCCTCCCTCGCATTGCCGGGGGGACGCTGGGCATGGAGCATGCGCAGAGGCGGCCGCCCCCTGCACTGGTTGTGGCCCCTGTCGGCTGCCGTGCCGGGACTGCCCGTCGCCATACTTGGGGCATCAACTTGATTCCGGGATACCATCAAATGCCGAGTTGATACGACTTTCAAGTTGGTCCAAGTCTTGACTGTAGTTGCTCTGTTCCTGCTCGGTTAGAGTTTGGGCCACTGACGCTCACGATTGCCGTCAAGGACCGCGCTGCCACCGACCATCATGACCGCCAAAAACCACCGCTGGCCGCCCATAGATAAAGGCCCTGGAGTGGGAGGGCGAGGTGCTGACGCAGCGGCTAGCCGCGGCGTCGGACGAGCGGGACGCGCTGCGCGCGAAATTTGAGTCTGGGGTCTACGACGTGGTGCAGCGGTCGGGTGAGGATTGGGATTTTGCTGTGGGCAGGGCCAGGGTTTTAGCTTGGGCAGGGGGGGCTGTTTCGGCAGGGGCAGGGGTTCAGAGGCAAGGGTTCAGAGTGGGCATGAGTAGGGAATTTGTCTGGGCAGGGGCAGGGGTCCAATTCAAGCTGGGGCAGGGGTTAACGATGGGACGGGGCGGGTATTCAAATCGGCTGGTTGCGACAGGGGTGAGCGGGTGGCAGGGGTGAGAACGAGGCAGGTGGCTAGGATGAGGGGTGGGCAAACCGGCCAACTGAATGCTTCCTCAGCTTGCAAGGGGCTTGGGCCGCCCCTTGCAACAACGGGAGGCTGCAAGGCCGAGGGCGTTTTCACGGCTGCGGGGGCAAGGCAGCCAGGCCCAGCCTGCCGCGCTGCAGCACCTGCGCGGAAGCCGCGCCCCGGACCACCCAGCTCCGCAGCGCGCGTGCGCTACCCTGCAACACAACGCGCGCCGCGGCCTGGATGCCCCGACGTTTCTGCAGCTCACGCCCACCGCGCGGCTCCGGCCCTCTCAAATTGACCCCAGGCCGTCTGTCAACCTGTGCGCCCTCGTCGGGCCTGACGCTTTTTGCCCTCTGCGCCCTCATCGGCCCCAACGCTTCTGTCTACTCTGCAGGGCTCAAGTCCATGGTACTGGAGAAGCGAGTTGCCGCGCTCAGCGGGGCATTGGAACTGAAGGAGGCCCAGCTGGGCGAGGTGCTGGCCGCGGCGCACCTGGACCCCGCGACCCTGCAGCAGGCGCGTGTGCGGGCGGCCGTGCGAGCGGGCGCGGGGCGGGCGCTCGTGCGTGCGTGTGTGTGTGTGTGTGTGTGTGTGTGTGTGTGTGTGTGTGTGTGTGTGTGTG